TTGTGGTTAATATTGGTTCTCACAGTTACCACAAACAACTCAGTTCTCCCTTGAATAGACCCCTATATATATATATATATATAGAGAGAGAGAGAGAGAGAGAGAGAAGCGATCAAATGAAAAATGTTCTCATTTGTGTAAACCATATAAATCAATCGCATCCATCTATTTTTTTTTTATCAATGGTCAAGATTAGTTTAATTTATATTAGGAAGTTAAAAAAATTATTTTTTTAATTGGCAAAAGGGCAAATTTGTAAAACCGTCTATATCAATAAATTGGGTATAATCATCAGTTTCCTTAATCAACCCTATTTTGAATAACGAAACAATATTTTTAACTATTACATTTAATGAATGAAATGATTTCACCGTATTTTTTACGATACACAAATCAACGTCTTTCTAGCGGAGTCATCTATCATTTCATTTTCTGAGAAGATGGATTCGTTTCAATCTTATTATGAAATGGTTTCACTGTTTGCCTATTAAACACCATGTTCTTAAGATTAACATCTCAACCGTTGACAATAATCATTCCATGAACCTGTTTCACAACTTATAAAAATTAAAAATAATGCATCCACCATACCATACAAATCAATAATCATTAAGTGAACCAGATAACCCGGGAAAAAAACGAAATGATTTCATCAACAATTGTTGATAATGAAACAATATAATCCAAGAATATATTTCGTATCCTAGTATATTATGCAATGATTTAAACCATAGATGAAACGATTTCATCAACATAATATATGAGACATTTGTCGTTTTCATGTTTTCAGTATGTGGATCCGTTTTAATCTAATTACAAAATGGTTTCACTGTTTGCCAATTACACAACATGTTCTCAACAATTATGAAATAGTTTCACTTTCGTGTATTTCTTATGCTTTCACCTTTTTCTTACATTAATCATTCTTATGGTCAAACTATTTAATATTGTTTACGTTTGAAAAAATTTAGGAAAAAAGGAAACAAGATTACCGGAAAAAATTATATTATGCAACAAGTTCATCCATAAAAATTTCAGTAAACATGTTCATCCATAAACGTCCTCATAAAAGAATCTAAATACGTTTCATTATATTTTTTTCTCTTTTACCACTTAAATTAGTGCCTTTTTCTAATAGAACATATTTTATATCCTGGTAAATTATGCAACAATTTCATCGCTACAGTTCTTGCAATCTGAACACGTTTCATTCAGCGAACAAGATAACCCAAAAAACTTTGAAACAATTTCATCAGCAACTATTTTAAAAGACAATTGTGTTTTCAGTAACTGATATGATAATGTTTTCGGTTCATGAATCTCTGTTTCACTAATATGATAATGTTTTCGGTTCATGAATCTCTGTTTCAATGGTGAATCATTTTTTAGAATATGGTACTGATTCTGTGGATCAAACAATATCAA